TTATAGGAAAATCCAGATTTAAACATCGGTAAGAAAGGGTTCGTGTGGTGGACTTGGACAGACAGGTTGATTCTTACTCTGAATCAATTAGCGTGTGTGGATGATGAATCATTGTCATTTTCAGCTCTGTGTGGCAAATATGATTTCTCTTCCTCAGCTGAACAACAATGCTTGCAATTGTAACATTTGCTAGAATCTTGATTTGGTCCTGCCATTGGACTGCTGCAAAGCCCACTTTGCTATCAGAAGCATCGATCGAGGCTGAGCAGTTGTATTGACTCATGATCCATGTTAACCTGTGAATAAGTATGATATACAGAGTCCTGAATGCAAAACGAATAACAAATTAGATTATCCTATTTTTCCTAATCAATAGAATATTGTTTTTGTGTCTATGCCAGAAAAGTCTGTGGATCTTCGGCTTCTTATTCAGTTAAAATAGTTTCATGCTTGTTAGATACCACAATGTCTTTTTAATATAGGTATGCTTAAGTCAGGTAACTATTGGAAGTGTAATATTGCTATTGCTTTGTTTACCCACATGTTTTAGCAATGTAAAACACTGCTTCTTTTTGGGTGGAGGTTATAATAGAGATAAAAGAAGTGTAAGCATTTCTTTAATATTAATGATGAACACATTATTTTAAATTATTTACCTGCTGAATGGAATTTATAGCAAGGACAGTGTAAGTGGATTTTCTTCACCCTTTGGACAGCTAAAACCCTGAAATTATAACACTGGAAAGTTGTTATAACACCATGGATCTCCCAGAACACCATGGATTGCTGCCCTAAAACAGTTTTCAGTAATCTAACAGATAGTATTTAGATGCCACCTGCAAATGGATATACACAGATACTTCGTCCACTTTTTATGAAGCTTATGCGTGTCTGTTCCTATTGACAGCTGTAGCATAATATACTTGCATTTAGGGAGGGACCTACCTTTCATACACACCCTGACAAAGAAGGGTGCAGGCCTATCAGCCCTACAGCAGGTGTACTTCAGATGCTTACATGCGTCCTATGCCCAGAGCAAGGCATGGCAGCTACCTTCATATCAACAGGTATTTGTCATAGTCAGCCTTTTTCAGCCATCTAGCTTGAGTGCTGGGCAGTGGGAGAGAAGGAGGCTGTGATGCCAGCTGGAATTAGTCCATGGCCTCTGCCTCCTCCTCTTCCCCGGTGTGTAATCTTGCAGCCCAGTTGCAGCTTGTGGACTACCACACAGTTCTTTAAAGCCCTGCCTCTGAGGTCACAAGACCTTGGAGCTAGGACTCCGAAAAACAAAAACAAAAAACCCCCACCTATGGCCTCCCTCAGAATGTGGAGAGGCCATAGGACTGTGCCCAAAGCAAAACATTTTATTTTGTTTAAGAGAAAAAAATCATGTTTCTTTCTCCTTTGATATTTGTTTTTGTATAACGCACATTAAACCTGAATATTAAAAGGCTCGACTGCCAACAGAGCTATTCCCATTAGCCAAGGCATCATCATCCTCAAGGAACTGAGATGCAAAACCAACAGTTGATTGCTTCAGGCAACAACACACACACACCTTTCTTAGGAAACCTCTGGAGAAACCTGCACTTCTTTGTGTCTTACACCTTATATGTTATTTCCAATTTCTCTCAACTTCCCACAGGAATAGAACCGCCAGCTGACATTTAGCTTTTCACCTCCACTAATGACTTTCAGTTACTGCAAAAAGAATAGAATTATCATCTCCTGTCTAGTTCGAAATTAAAGTTTTATAAGCCTGTGCAGTGCCGGCTGCAGTCCCATTGTGCCTCACCACTGGAGACGTGAGATAGGGTGAATTTCCTTCCTTCTTTTGTTTTCCATCTCAACTTCAGTGTTTGCATGTGGGGGTTTTTCATGAAGGTGTTGTATGTGAATTACAGATGCAATTGTACCATGACCTCATGAGCCCTTCTTCTTTATATTCTCCATTTATTATATGCTTTCCTTCTACCTCTCATAGTAGAAAAATACAAAAGCAGAAAGCTCCTAAGTCTAGACTCTTACAGATCCAATGAAGTAACCTTTCCAGCTTCCAAGGGCCTTTCATTCTCTGTAAGGTTTCTCTTTGAAACAGCCTTGTCTTTAAAAATTAAAAAACCATCATCAGCACCCTGGAATAATTTGAAGCTTAGTATCAAGCTAGCAGCCTCCATCACACTGGAAAGTGTGCATCCTCATAAAAGATGCAGGGCTAATACAAAGTTCTAGCGAGAGCTAACTAACATGTCTGCCCTGCAACCAGGGCTGTGCTGAACATTTTCAGGACAATTTTTTTCAGCAGATTCATAGGAATGATGGAGGGGAGAAGAAAAGCATGGTGAGGGACCTCTAGGGATAACTTCTGGTGGCCCTTTTGGGAGCAGCAAGCAGACAGTTTTCAGGTTTACCAGTAGCAGGTTCAGATTTCTACATTGTTATTTTTATTGTTAATATTGTATCAGCTCAAAAAGATTCAGGGCATCTTACAATAGAATTAGAACATGCAAAATTTAAAACAGTTCAAAACTGTGGTCCACTGAAAGATCAACAACAACCAAAAAACACATTTTTTAAAAAATGGTCAGCCATTGAATGCCTGGGCCAAGAAGGAAGTCTTGACCTAGCAGCAAAAAAATGACAACCCACAAGGTGGGCCTCACTGGGAAGGACATTCCACGAACAGGAAACACCAACATAAAGGTTCTCTGCCTTGTATTTTTTTATTTTTTTATTTTTATATCCCCCCCCCCACTTTCCCTTCCAAGGAAAAAAGGTTGCTTACCTAATTCTCCACTTCTGCATGATCTTATCCCCACAACAACATCCCTGTGAGGTAGATTGGACTGACTGTCCCAACATCCCCCAGGGAGCATCATGACTGAGTGGGGACTACAACCCAGATCTCCTGAGTCCAAGCCCCACTCTGCACTGGCTCTTATACCCATCCCCTGAGCCTCCATTAAAGGCCCAGATGTTGATTGTAGCATATGGTAGATTCGTACCAGAAGAAGGGCTTCACCAGGCCTTTACTCCTCCCCCTTTTAAAATCATGGTTGCTCCTAATTTCCGGTAGCAGGAGCAGTCCCTGGTCCATCAGGGCCCTTCTCAGTCCTCAGATGCATTGTGGATTGGGATGGCCCATACAGAAGAGGAGACAATGATGGCAAAGACATATGAAGGAGTTTAAAAAGCAGCAGCAATAGCCTCTGGCTGAGTTATTGTCTTTGACTTGCAGAAATATTAGTCTCCTGCCCAGAAGTTTTCCAAATGGAACACAGGAAAGTGGCACCAAAATGCTTAAAGAAAAGCGGGGTGGACTTGAAAAGAAGCTTCTCTGGCTGCTAGTAATGCAATTTCCTGCTGAGAATGTCCTTGAATGTCTCCAAACCAGCTTTAAGCATGGAGGAATGTCTCCTCCCACTTGCGAACCAAGGATGGAGTCGAGAAGGTGGGAAGCAGAGCTGGCCTGGGCGTTTTCTGCCTGTGAGAAAGAACAAAATCCCCCCGCCCCATTCCATGTATAGAAGCAAACTAGAGGGCAGAAGGGAGGAATGCAAGGGCAGCCAGCTGGGCATGAGGGGCATGTGCCGCTTCCCATTCCCCACAGGGCATATTGGAGGTCTCTGCAATGGACTCCAGTGAGCTCAAGTTTCTAAGAATCCATCCCATGAATTTCACAGTGGTCCAGCAAAAGTGATCCATACCACATTGATTTCAGGCACCATCATCATCACCACCACCACCACCATTATTACTATTTTTTAATGATTTCACTATTTTTACTATTATTTTATTTATTTATTTATTTATTAAAACATTTTTATGCCGCCCCATTCGCCGAAGCCTCGGGGCGGCTTACAACATAGATAAAACAAGTTAAAATCCATATAAAATAATCTTAATTAAAACTCACATTATAAAATAAGCCGCCCTGGCCAGATAAAATTCAATTGTATTTAGCATTTAAAATGTTGCTTAAATAAAAAGGTCTTAGCCTGGCGCCGAAAAACAAATAACGACGGCGCCAGGCGGACCTCTCTGGGGAGCGCATTCCATAACTTAGGCGCCACCGCTGAGAAAGCCCTTCTCCGAGTAACCACCCTCCTAATTTCTCTCACGGAGGGCTCCCGGAGAAGGGCCTCTCCCGCCGATCTCAGGGGGCGACTGGGCAAATATGGATGTAAGCGCTCCTTCAGGTAACCATTTTGCATTTGTATGCTGCCTTTTTTTGCAAGGCAGCTTACATAGTCCATTTCTACTCCATTTTATCCTCATAACCACAATCCTGTGAGGTGGGTTAGGCTGAAAATGAGTGACTGGTCCAAAGGCACCTTGTGAGACTCATGGCTGAGGAGCGATTAGCTATCTGAGGTCCCTCGAGTCCAGATTTCCCAGGCCCTGGTCCAACACTATAACTACCACACCACTCTGACTTTATATAATGCTATGGAGATGTGGTCATAGACAGATATATAAATTAGACCACAGACATGTGTTCCCCCCATCCGCTAAAGCCTGGAAATATGTATTTTGGGAGGGTTGCATAGTTTGAAGTGATTTGCATATTTCACCCAAGTCCACGCAAACATATTATCATACAATGCAGTTCCATAAGTGAGCAGGCGACTGAATGAAAGCAGCCTGACATTCCCTGACATGTAGGTAGAATGGGGGTCACGGCACCCATTCATCCCAGTCACCCACAACATCTGTCCCCGAGGCAGCTGCCGAATGGGAGGACCAGCCTTGATGGGGATACATTTTCTGACCAGCTCCATTTTAAATCAGCTCAGAAGGGCTGACTCCAGTAAGCTATCCCAGCACCCTCCTGCTCATGCCTGTGCTGCATCTAGTCTCCGAAGTAGTAGAGCGCCACCGAGGCTGTTGGCCATCGACTGCAAATGGGTCTCCTCTTCTTTGAAAGCTATCCCGGTTGATGGCCTATTGATTGCAAATAATGCGTATGAGCCAAGAAGTCATTAGCAGAGGCGACTTACCCTGGGATCTTTTTCTAAGCGAAGCTGATGTTGAAGACTACGCCTCCTCCTTCCCTTGGCCAAGCCATTGTGGAAGAAGTGGTACCCATCCTCCACAAAGGGAAGCTGGAAAAGGGGTTGAAAAATGTACATGTTAGAGGTTATGTTTGCACTGATCACTGTAATAATCTACAGCATAGATTCCTACATAAAATGGCTGCAAAGTTCTGTCATTAAAAGAATCCAATACTTTATAAGCTTAGGAGAAAAGCATGCATAATTCAGGATGGTACCCCCTTCTCCAAAATAATCATGCTCTTATTTTATTTTATTTATTTGTTTGTTTAATATGTTTAAAAGCTGCCTATTAGCAACATACTCTCTGGGTAGACATTACAATATAAAATCAACAAATAACATTAGTAAAATAATACAATTAAATTAAATAAACAAAATGAGCATGTCATGAGCGGAGCCAGCTGGAGTTGGGTGTCAGACTAGATGGTCCTTCTGACTTGCTCTGTTTCTATGTTTCTAAAATAAAACACAACAACATAACTAAATAAAAATAAAGCATACATTCATCCTGGGTTTTTCACCACCTGCACTCTAGTCCTCTCCCAGCTTGCTTTTAGCTTGCACCTACATAGGTACATAGGAAATAATTGCTCATTTAGTGTTGTCAATGTCCTTTCTGCACAAAGGTAAGCCCCCTGCCCTGAGGAACTTGCAATCAAAATTCAGTGTAGAGCTGGAAACAGAAAAGGAGGAAGAAAGTGAGGGTAACAACAACATGCAATCAGTTCAGTTATGTGTATTTAAGATTCATAGAAAGGGCTTGCCATACAAAAGCAAACCACTCTGCTCAGCACCACCTTTAAAAATGACAACCAGCCAAGATACAACAAATAAGATGCAGCTGATCTTCAAGTGGCAAAATATCCCAGCCTTCCTTAACGGCACCCATGTGAGTTTTCCCTGGCCCTGCCCCGGCTTCAGCCACGTCTCCTGTTTGCCTGCTGTTACGCCCAGCACTGTGTGAGGTTCCACAACGCCATGCCTGAAGATGGTAGGCACCCTGTCAGCTCTCTGGCATGGTTGTGTGCAGCTATGCCAGTTTGACCTTCAGAATTGACGGATGCAATTGATACGCAAGTGCCCTGAGTTACCCCTCTGTCCTGGGGACAGTCTTTCCTGGCACTCATTACATCACCCTATTACAGGAAATTGACTGTTTTGTGTAATTTAACCCAGAACTAATGCTGGTCAAGTGCAAATAGTATAGCGTTAATTTCAGCAGTACTTTATTATACATGTATGTTTCCATCATTACTGGGACATGGAAGTTAAGGTAAGTCACTGGAAAAAAGATATGCCTTAAATGTTTAAGGCTTATAAATGGCACCTGTTGTTGCATAAGCTAGCATCCAGGTTCAGCCTGATGAGGACTACAGTTCTAGAAAATTGGAAACCCACCTAATATGCATTGCCCCAAACTACAAGTTGAAATGGAAGCCTATTACAGAGTTAAAGACCACAACCTCGCTATATCTCTAATGCAACATGCAATTTGGTCTTCAGAGAAATTGTGAGGATGAGGACAAAAGGCACAGATGGATCAAGGCTACCAAACCAGAAAAAAAGCTCCCTTTCACCTTTTAACCCATCTTCTCACTAGAAATGAATGATAAGTTAGTTTGTGCCCATAAAGCGCTCAAGCAGATTTGTAACCTGTTTGCAATCTTGAAGGGAAGTATGAGCAGAAGAACATGTTCTCTAGGGATCTTAGTGAACTCATGAACATGTGTTCACGTTCAAAACGTGTGCAATATCACAAGAAAGCAATTTAACATTGTACTTTTTTTAAAAAAATGCATAATTGCACACTGGGGGGGAAAGTTGTGCTACTTTGAGGGAGAAAAGCTCAGTTTTGTGCAATTTCCCAGTTTGATTGCATTCAGTTTGCACAAATCAAACAGTGAGCACAGGTGCCCACAGAAAGTGAAGGAGATGCTCAAAGAATCTGAACATCACTTGTTCGGCCTTCACAAACTGGTATGGCAAACTCACAAGAGGATCCCCTTGAGCAATGCAGTATAGTTTGGCTGCTTTCAAAGGTGAACATAACCAGGACAATGTGGATACCTGTGCTGATACCAGGGATTCCCTCCTCCCTATCTGGATTGGGTCTGAATCCCCAAGAACAGCCCTAGTGCAGCACATCTATTTCATTTCTTCATGAGGTCGAAGTCACTGCAGGAAAAGGAGTGGCCACAGAAGGATCCATAGCTGAGAATTATTCTTCGGAGGTCTGAGCTCTTTAGCCAGCCTCAGAAGAGGAAATTTACCACACTGCAGGTCTCCTCAGACTTGCCATTTAAACTACAAACGTATGAGGCCCCTAGAGAAAATTACAGACCAAATGGAAATTTTTGTTTAAAACTGTTCTTATTGAGCTTGCACTATTTTGAAGAAAAAGCAGCCATATGTCTCTGGTCCAAAAGGTGCCACTGACTGAACTTCAAAATGGAGATGGCCAATTCCAGAGCATTTGTTCAAAACAGTCTGAATGGTGCGAACCATAATTTGGCCCACCCTCGAGGCTGGAATAGGTTTCCAACCTCAGTGAAGTCAGGGAAAGTATAAAAGAAGGCCCATATCCTCACTTTTGGTTGAAGGGAGTAAGGAAGAAACAACTGTCAAAATGGTTGCCATATCTAAATGTTTGTATTGATAATGACCTGTCAGCATCCAGGGTGGGGACGGCTGACTAGCAGGTGAAGGCACTGGGACCCAGGCACAGGGGATGACAAGCACAAGTCCAGTACACAATCGAAAAGGTCAGAGCGGGGAGTCAAGATATAAGCCAAGCCCGTACAGAAGGCAGCGTTATTAAAAGCAGGCCGAGGGTCAGAGAACCATGGAAGGCAAATCAGGGAAACCCGGTACCTTGCAGGTCAGGGCAGGAGGAGGTGCAGGCAGGATCCAGGTGTCATGGGAACAGGAGCAGAGTTCCAGGTCCAGTAGGCCAGGAAAGCTTCATCAACACTGGAAGACCTTCCTTGCCCAGGCAGCTTCTGAGGGCAATTGCTTCTGAGGGGAATTCTTATATAGCTCTTCCCCCGGGCTCCCTAGGAGGACTCATGAGAGCCCTGGCAGCTGCAGTGGACTGGGGTCAGAAACCTGCAACTACCAGGGCTGCTCTGCTGACCCTTGGCCAGCAGAGGGAGCCCTGAAGCGGCCTCGGGTCTTGACATGCCCCCCCCCCCTTTTCCATACTGCTCTCTAAATAGGCTAGGAAAATGGTGGTGGGTGGATCTTTCATGCCATGGCCTGTTTGTTTATTTATTTCATAGAATCATAGAATAGTGGAGTTGGAAGGGTCCATGAAGGCCATGGAATCCAACCCCCTGCTGTTGCAGGACACCATGTTACACCATCCCACTCAGATGGCTGTCCAGTTTCTTTTTGAATGTCTCTAGTGTGGGAGAGCCCAACACCTCTCTAGGCAGCTGGTTCCACTGCCGTATTGCTCTGACAGTGAGGAAGCTTTTCCTGATGTCCAGTTTGAATCTGGGTTTTCACAACCTGAACTGATTATTCAGTGTCCTACACTCTTGCATTAGCAAGAAGAGATCCTGACCCTCCTCTTTGTGATAGCCTTTGAGGTACGTATACAGGGATATCATGCCCCCCTCAATCTTCTCTTCTCAAGGCTGAACATGCCCAGTTCCCTCAGTCTCTCCTCATAGGGCAGTGTTTCCAAACCCTGGATCATTTTTGTTGCCCTCCACTGGACCCTTTCTAATTTACCTGCATCTTTCTTAAATCTTGGTGCCCAGAACTGGACACAGTATTCCTGGTGAGTTCTGACTAGTGAGGAGTATAGAGGAACTACTGCTTCTCGTGATTTGGAAGTAATACTTCTGTTAATGCATCCCAAAATAGCATTTGCCCTTTTGGCAGCTGCATCACATTGTTGGCTCATGTTTAGCCTATTGTCCACAACTACTCCAAGATCTTTTTCTTGTTCAGTTCTGTTGAGCCATATATTCCCCATCTTGTATCGATGCACGTGGCTTCTTTTTCCTAGGTGGTGGACTTGGCACTTGTCCTTATTGAATTTCATTCTGTTGCTTTCAGCCCAGTGTTCAAGTTTATTGAGATCCCCCTGGATATTCATTCTGTCTTCTAGGGTGTTTCATTCTATTCCACCCAGTTTTGAATCATCTGCAAATCTGATTGTCTTTCCTTGTACTTCCTCAGCTAAATCATTAATAAAGAAGTTGAAGAGCACTGTGCCCAGGTCTGAACCCTGTGGCACCCCACTAGTTAGCTCCATCCAATTTGAGGAGGTGCCATTGATGAGCACTCTTTGGGTCCGATTTAGCAGCCAATTTTGAATCCACTTAATAGTTTTTCCATCTACTTCAGTTTTTGCTAATTTGCTTATCAAAATTTCATGTGGCACTATGTTGAAAGCTTTGCTAAAGTCTAGATAGATTATGTCCACAATGTTCCCTTTGTCCATTTGGGAGGTTACCCAGTCAAAAAATGAGATTAAATTAGTCTGACAGGATTTATTTTTGATAAATCCATGCTGGCTTCTATTAATCACTGCATTTCTTCAATTTTGCAGAAGGATTTTTTAAATAATTTCCTCCAGAATTTTTCCAGAGATTGATGTCAGACTAACTGGCCTATAGTTCCCAGGTTCATCTCCCCCCCCCCCCTTTTTTTTTCAAGGTAGGGAGAACATTAGCCGTTCTCCAGGCATCTGGCACTTCTCCTGTTTTCCAAGGTTTATTGAAGATAATAGCCAGTGGTTCTGAGAGTTCCTCCACTAGCTCTTTTATGACTCTGGGATGGAGTTCACTGGGCCCTAGGGATTTGGAAGTGTTTATTCCACCTAGGTATTCCTTGACTGCATGCCTCTCAATCTTGGGCTGCCATCTCTCACTTCCAGCTTGAACTTCCTCTTGATTGCAGATTTCCTTGTGGGAGAAGACTGAAGCAAAGTAGGAATTGAATAGGAATTTATATTTATTATTAAGCTTGTGTACACACTAAGAGTCATGCAGGATTCTCTGTTCCAGCAAAGGAAATTAGAAGCAGCTCTCCTTGGT